TTTCGCGCCATGCTTGGCATGGGGCGACTGTCTGTGGCTCTCTGGCGCATACCGGAAGTACAACCTTTAAGGTCTTTCCTGGAAGGGACGAGGTCGACCTACTGCCTCGGCCCTTTGCTGTTTAAATCCGACTTAGGGTTTTGTTGCAACAAAGGACAATCAGGTTTTATGTGCCCTCTTTTCCCACATTTATAGCAAGGCCCATGTGTTTTCTTCGTCTTCCTTGAGAATTTGTTTTTTGCTTTTCGCCTTCTCTTCAAGTTTTACTGACCATACTGTCAAAACTCTTTTGAAGTTTCTCAATGGCTCCCTCCAGAGTACTTAATTGAGATGGGACAGCGTTAGCTTGTGCCACCTGTGGTTGTTTACTCTGGACTGCATAAACTTTAGCGCCATCTTCTGCCACTTCTTTGCCAGCCCTCTTTTTGGAACGTCCATAAACTGACTGATGGAGATACTGGTAATACCTGATATTAGCCTTGGCCTCCTCTAAGGTTACAGGTTTATCCATGGCTACTGCTAAACCAGCATCTTTGTCCGCCAGGCCCTCACAGAATTTGCCAACAGCCTGTCGATTGGAATAATATTCTGCAGGTCCCTAAACGCATTAATTGCCAGGGTCATGACCCTATCTGCCCAATCATCCAATGATTCCCCAGGTTGCTGTGAAGATTGTTGAAATCTTACTTGAGCTGACTCAGGAAGTTCTCTTGACCCAAACCTCAGCTCCAGTTTTGCTAGCAGACTGCGATACGAAATGTTCCCATCTCTTTCCATGATGATAGCATGGTAATCTGCTGCTTTCCCTGTGAGACACCAGCACAAACCATCTGGGGATCATCAGCTCAATCCATGCTTTACATGCTTAAAATTCTGATTGAATCCACCCATTTCCCCTTTACCATAAACTGAAAACATTTCGGGAGCCCCGAATAAATGAACAGTGTGGATTCTTCTTCGCACCCCACCGGGGATGGTTGGGATGTTAATCAAAGTTCTGTTTGAAGAATCGCGCCATTTGGGGTCTGTAATTTTTGGGACGGCCCCCCCAGTCAGTGCTTAGCAGTAGGGTGGGGGGTAAACCTTTCATTTGCCCCTGTGCGTGAATGATACTTTCGCTATTTTGCAAAATTTTTGGGGACTTCCTTTCCAATATTTTTGGATGGAGTTTCATCATCTTCTCCTCCATAAATTTTTTTTTTCTTGTCCTGTTTATATTTCGAGAGAGTCAAAGAAGTGAAAACTTGCCCTCTTTATCCGCATTGATAACTTTTTTGGGAGAAAATGGCACATCGGGCAAATTTTCCCACATTAGCGGCAACTTATCATTTGGTGTGAAATCCAGCAAGGCAACTTCATCCTCGTCAAACGTCTTTCTGAGTATTGACTGAAGCAAATCAAGTGTTAGACTTCCCTTATTATTTCTAACAGAAACAATCACCTCTGCTGTTCGGCTAGCAACACCTGGAATGTCCAACAGCTCTCTTTCTGATGCGAAGTTCACCATGATCTTCTTGCTGCTGCATGCTTGTTCACTCGACATGTTGTTTTGCAAATTGTAGCCGAAAGATATTACAGCGATTTATGCAGGAATTAGTTATAATTCGTGCCTCGGAGTAGTTTTTGTTCAGCAAAAGTTTGTCAAGTCAGTCAGTCGTTAGACAGAGGACTTTCAATACTTTTATTTAAAAAATACTTGTATATTTATTCACAGTCTTAGACAAAATGAATAACAAGCAATTAAATTATTAGCAAAAATTTAACTGAAATTTTTAAAGTATTAATAAATTATTTACTTTTTACAAAAATATAAAGTCAAAAATAAAGAAAATAAACAAACCTGGATTTTGTAGTATTATCTGCAACGAGGAGCTTAGCCTCTAGTTAACAGAATGTATTTATAGCTGTGCGTTAGCTTCAGGTATAAACACAAACAAAAATCAGACACAGGTTTCTTCTATTAGAATTGACCTTGAAATCCTTGTAACTAAAACAAGAAAATAATTTCAATTACAATTTACAATTATAAATGCTTTACAATTAAATTATTATTTAAATATTTAAACAATGTTTAATTATTAAATAAAACTTATCTTATATTCTTTTATCAAAAATATTAAAGAAATATCTTTGCTGAACTTGTAGCAACGAAGGTTTCTCGTGCAATGCTACGATTTATTTGATTTTTACTCCTGGGCGGAAGTGGAAAATGCTTAGCTTTTCCGCTTGCGCATGCGCTGTGAGTCCAACTTTCCGAAGTTTCCAAACTCGCCAAAAGAGTACTCTAAATACTCAATTTTGACAAATTTCCACTATAAGTCATCTAAACATACAGTATTTGTTCAATCCAAACCAACAATCCCTTTCCCCCTCTCGAAAATAAAGGAAATACTATAATTTCAATGTTCGAAATACGAAATTTTTACGGTCGGGAAAGTCGCTGATTTACCTCCGGATTGCGTAGAATTCCTACGAAGTTGACGTGAATTCGAATAGTAGCTGCCACCATTAAAGTGTTCTGCTTACCTTGAAACACTTTCCCTGTATGGATGACTGTATATAGTTCTAAGTTACTTCGGATTTCGTCTTGTTGTCTTTTCTATAGTTCCTATCAAGATGGCGGCTTCGATCTTGCTCGTCATGCACGGACTAAATCTCGTCTATCCGGTATCGGAATCACCCGGATAAGGTCAGACTCTCATATCTCACCACACTTCTGACACCATTGTAAACGTATGTCAGGATGGGGAAAATAAACACAATTCTTATACAGTTTTCTAAGTTTATAACAAGTATTTCGGCAACAACAGTGTCTAGTGAGTTACTAATATTGGATTTAAATACATACAAACTTACAAGTTTGGATAACAATGTCGTTTGTAAGATGTTTACTGAATTTGAACTTTGGCGGTTTTAAAACTTTATTTGCATTACTTGGAGGTCAAGACCGAAGTGACAGCATTGGTTGGATTCCGACTTTTATAAGGTTCGATGTTTGAAATCCACCAATGAAACAACAGAAATCCGGAAATCCTCCAATGGACAGACAGCCGGATTTCTGAATCTGAAATCTTGGATTTCAATGGCGGCCATATTGAAATCTCATATAAAATCTACATACGAAAATCATTAATATACAAAAACATGTAGTGAATACTTATGGATTTCTGACCTTAATCAATTATAAACTTTACATAAATTATGTTCTTGAATTGAATTTGACTGAAATTGACATTAACAATAAGAAATCTTCAATATAAAATATGAAGTGACAGATTTCAAAGATGTCTGTCATTGGACGTCTGCTACACAGAAAATGTAAAGAGAAATCTGTTTTCTGCTATACAATAAGGTAAGTTTAACATTTCTATCAGCTAAATTGCAAAGTCAATAAGTGTCAATACAGTGTTCCTTCAGATTAATCAGGTAAGTGAATCTTGTTCTTGTAGATTAGTCAACAAATTATGAAGCTATAGGATTTCACAATGTCTCTTGGATTTCATTATAAGTTCTGTTGTAAGTACATTTCAGAATTATGCTAGAATGTCATATCCTTACAGATTGTTATTGCACTAAGATAACGATATAGTATTTTGTAATATATTTGAAGGAATTACTTGTTTTATATTGGCTTTCTGAGGCATCCATGACTGAATGTTTAAGCAGGGATTTACATCACTGTCAAATTACAGGGGTCCTATGGATGTTGGTCCCACCGCTTATACAGGGGGTCAAATTATTAAATTTGACTTAGAAGGTGCAAAAATTCATGGTGTCCAACAACAAAATTTTAACAGTTCAACGCCTTACCAAACAAAACTATTTACTTGTTATATTATATTTAGCTTAAAGTTTTTAACTGAAAGGGTTTTTAACTGTTTATGATGTTAATCAAGATTTTTGAAGCCATATGATGTTATTCAAGATTTTTGAAGCCAGCATTATATCTTTTATGCATCCACCTGGATGCAAGACCTTGGGAATTGTGCATCAAAGTAGGCCTTAGAAGGATCAAAGTTGGATCCTGCATCTGGTAAATCCCTGATCAAGGCAGTTTAAACGACTTGACACTCACTGCTGTGGGTTCAAATCCCTTCAGATACTTTGAATTATTTTATGTGAGGAAGCAATCCAGTTAGCTTACAAAATGTCAGTGGTTCTGAACTTCTACTCTGCCTGAAATAATGCACGGAGGGGCATTGGGAAGTCTTCCTTCCATGGGAAAGTCACCATATGACCTTTACAGTGTTATTATGAAGTAAAATCCAACCAAAAACAAAACAAATTTGTTTTCTAAACACATGTAGCTTGTTCTCAAAATAATAAAAATTACTTATCATTTGTCCCTCATCAATGTTTGCTTGAATCCTAGCAGAGACTTTGAAGTCATTTGTGTGATGTTTAATTTAGGAGGAAATAATACTTTTGTTGTGAGGTCTTATACTGAGGTGGCAAGTCATCGTTATCATGATCTTTAAAAATTACAATGTGACAGTAAACCCAACCAGAATATAATATATGTTTTTTGCTCGCACTGAATATGTTGACATTTGTGCTTGTAGAATCATGTATAAAACCATAAAATATAAATGAAAAACTGATGTAAAATTCTTTGAAATAAGTATTAAACAAAATTGTAATTTTACAACTACAAGAAGAAAAGATACCCAATGAAAACAGGTAATATACTTAATTTTTTTTCCAGAGGAATCCAATAATTGGTGACAAGTTTGCCAGTAGACATGGCCAGAAAGGAGTCTGCAGGTATGTGTATATCTTAATCCGAAATTTTGCCTTGGTTTATTGTAGGAAGTTCCTGTTTTATTTGCACTTTCAACGCTTTTTGATTGTCATTAGAAAGGAAGGTACCTTGTTAAAATCTCTTACTTAGTGACTTGTAACACTTGAAAATGACATATTATTTAAAAACCCTTGAAAGCACCTTGAAAATTAATGAAAGGTCTTGAAAAGCCATTGAATTTAAAATTTCATTATTATCATAAGAAAGGTTATATAAAATTATTAAAGAAATCTAAAGACTTTAAAAAAAATCAATATTGGAGATAGAGCTAAATACTGCATCTTGTGTAAGTACTTAATTTTGAATTGAAGGCCCTAATAACCATTGAAACCTCGTAAATTTTGCTGTAGAAAATGTGTTATATCTATGTTATCTATGAAAGTGATAGAGCATAGGATTGTTTGACTTTGAGGCTTTGAGATAATTATGGAAGCAGTCCTTGACATAGACAGGTCATTTTCAGCATCTCTCATAGGCTTAATTATGTTTAATAAGTATTATTTTTGTTTTACAGTATGATGTATCCAGTAGAGAACCTACCATTTACAGAGAGTGGAATGACTCCAGATATTATCTTCAATCCCCATGGTTACCCTTCTAGAATGACAATAGGTAAAGCTGTACATCATCTGTATAGAAAATCTCAGCATGTCTATATATTTAACTTCCGAATTCGAATTTGAATAAAACAATAGCAGTTAAAAAAGAAAACAACATGACCAAAATTGAGATGTTTTACCCATTTAAAAACACTAGAGAATACTGGTTAAATAGAAGAAATATATTTAAGAAATAATATATCCCAAATTGTGATTTTATTGCTCAATAACATCACTGTTTTGAGTTCAGATGCGGGGAATTATATCACAAGGGCGTAGCCCGAGTGGTATAATGATGCGCATGTGAACGGCAAACAGTGATGTTATCAAGCAATAAAATCACCGATTTGGATATATTATTTCGATTCTAACACAACATCAACAAATAAATGCTGCCGTACCTGATATTTAGCTAATTTTCGCCTGATCTTTTTCCGTACTTTTGTCAGCGCGTCACATTTTTAGTGGTTATGTCACGTGTATAATGATTACGTCACATGTCTAAATATAGAACGTCAAACAGTGATTTTATAGCATAATAACACATACTTTCGGTTCTTCTATGTTTAATAGGGAAAAATGCAGGTCGTGTTAGAATTATAGATTTTTAGTCCATTTATCTCTAGAATGTAATTGGCAGAAATTATTTAGAGGACAGGTAATCAGTCATAATAATATACATAGGTAAATACACATTAACTTTCTTTAACTTTCCTGAAAGTAATAATGTTTTCTGCTCAATTGATCAACCAGCTAACTGGTCTAGGTTAATCTTTTATGATATATATTTCAATAACATATTGCTTAAACTAGTATACAGTATATGATCATTATATGATTATTGTATGTGATTCAGGTATGATGATTGAATCAATGGCAGGAAAGTCTGCTGCATCGTATGGACATTGTTATGATGCCACGCCCTTCCAGTTTTCAGAAGATGATCCGGCAATCGATCACTTTGGAAACATGTTAGTTAAAGGTAAAATATTACAATGAAAAGGCAGTGTATTTCAAGCATACCTTGTACATATAATTATATTTATTTTAGGTAAAAAAAAAAGGCAAAATTTTTGTTTCTTCATTTTTGTATTTTTCACTCATTTTTCTGTAAATGTCCTCATAACAAATACACTAGGCAGTCACAGGAACAAAACTTTTCTCCTCGTAAAGAATAAAATGGTGGTTTCCTAACTTGACCCACGTGGGTCAGGTTAGAGCGTTAGCATTTCACAATAGTTGTCAAAGTGAACTCTAGAAACATTAAAGAACATGTCAAATGAACGACTTACACTTGTTTTAATCATACAATATCCAAAATGTCTTGTTATTGTAACTTCCAGGGTTTGATCAAGTCACATGACTTGTTTCAAAACTACTCAGTGATTCTGTCTGCATCTAAATTTCTTTCAACATATATAGATATACATGTATTTACACTTAAAACCCAAAATATGTAGAATTTATACATAAATTCATGATGGGACTTTAAAGAAATGTCATTTCAGCATGATTTGAGTATATAAAATCATATTAATATTTTTGTCATTGATTTGCCTGAGTATCCCTTTAAAACACAGAAATTAGAATTAATTGTTGCAAATGAAGTCATAATTTTGCTGTATGATATATACAAGTCATTAAGTTTTTACAGGCTTACGGTTCTAATCAGGTGATAGATTGCACTAGAGTGCATGGATTTCATATTTTATCATCCTCCACCAGTTAAATTGGAAAGTCGCCATATGATATTGACCTATACATTGTCACAGTGACTTGAGAGTCAAACCGTTCAGTTAGAATCAAAGATTGATGCTATATAACATAATTATGTATTTTGAAACTAAAATAGTGTTTGAATCATATATGCCATAAAGTCACACAGTCTTACATAATTATCTTGAATAATCTTCTATTTTGAAAGCTTTACATTTTAATTAGTTATTATCACTACATGTGAGGTCTAAATAATGATACAAGGGATTGTCTCCCTTTAAGTAGCAAGTTGGGATTGCATCTGTTAAAGCAAACTCAATGAAGACAATAATAATGTGTATATTCTATAATGTGAATAAAAATCCCATTCAATTATTTACTTACATCTTACTTTTCATTTACGAGGGTTGTTCGGAAAGTTTTGAGACAATATGATTTTCTCTGTTTCTAATTACAGCTGCGAATATTATTTAATACAAATTATAGCTTAATATGTGATTTATCCGAGTTATGTCTTTAAAACGTTGTAACGTTACTATACGGCATATAATCGTTTCCATAGCAACACCTGTCTACGCATCCTGGCGCACGGACTATTTTCTTGTTATAAGTTTTCTTACTGAATAAAAAGAGCCCCTAAAATTGCGCCAAACGTCACGAAAATTTTATGACGTCACTTCCAACTTAAGGACGTCATTTCCGCTAGTTGTTTAAGCCGTTACCGCAGATCATTATAGCAATACGTGCGCGACAAGACAACGACTTTGCAAACACCGTCAAAAGAGGAACAGCGTGTTTTTATTAAGTTTTGCGTTAATCTTGGGAAAACACCAACAGAAACTAAGCAACTTCTAGAACAGGCAAACAACGGACGTACTGTTAGTCGACCATTGGTATTTAGATGGCATAAAGAGTTTCGGGATGGCAGAAAGTCAACACAAGACAAGGAAAGGAGCAGTCGCCCATCCGTCATCGACGATAAACTGACACTTGCAAGAAACGCGCTTCAGTGCGACCGTCGCATAACAGTAAGAGAAGTTGCTGAAGTTTGTGATGTAGGTACGGCAACTGCTCACAAAATGTTAACTGAGACACTTGCAATGTCTCGGGTTTCGGCCCGTTGGGTACCGAGATTATTGACGGCTGATCAGGAAGAAAACCGAGTAAAAGCATCTCGACAGTTTCTACATTCATACCAGAGAGAAGGCGACGCGTTCCTAGACAGAATTATTACCACCCACGAGTCCTGGTTTTACTACTACGACCCAGAAACAAAGTCGCAGTCTTCAGTTTGGAAGCACACGTCGTCTCCACCCCCGAAGAAAGCACGTGTAACCAAATCGGTTGGGAAACATATGTTTATTCTATTCATGGACCGGAAGGGGATGCTGTTAACACATGCTGTACCGAAGGGAGAGACGGTGAACGCTGACTATTACTGCAGGGTGAGTAATTATGTTAACTTTATTAAGATGAAAATAATTAAAAATAAATATATAAATAATATAGATAATTAAATTGATTACTTACTTAATTATTAAAATAATTATTTGAAATTAATTCACCTGTATCTGTATTAAGTACGAGCTCCGATATTTCTGTTTAAGGTAATCAGACGGGAACTGATCAACGCTATCCGTAAGAAGCGGCCGGAAATGCTTGTGAATCTGGAGAACATCTACCTACATCAAGACAATGCGCCTGCACATACAGCATCTGCCACTTCTCTGGAACTTGATGTTCTCGGGTTTAACCGCATCGCTCACCCACCCTACTCACCCGACCTGGCCCCAATGGACTTTTCCGTTTTTCCGGCCATCAAATCCGAACTACGAAGAATCCGGTTTGAGGACCTAGTTGAACTGCGCTCTAGAGTTATGAGCATTATTGCAACATTTAAATCTGACTGGTATAGAAATGTATTCGCCAAGTGGGTTACGAGGCATGAGAAATGTGTACGTTGTGAAGGAAGATACTTTGAAAAGGAGTAGCAGTTGACTTTTCTACGGTGACGTTAAACTCTGGAAATAACGGCAACGTCGGATAACGTCGTTGCGTGCGCCGGGTCATGGGTAGTGTCTGTGCCTAACGCTTTGTAGCTTTTGTATACATGAAGCTATTGTTATGAAATTTTACACTATAATAGATGAGGTATTAAAGTAATACATAGTAAACTCTTGTTTGATTTTATCGTTTCCAACGCTAAATATTGACCCAGTCTCAAAACTTTCCGAACAACCCTCGTATAACAACCTCCATTTTGCTATTATGTTACAAAAAGAACAAAACTCATAGATCTATACATGTATATTATTTTATAGCTGGCTATAACTACCATGGTACAGAGAGGTTTTACAGTGGGATAGATGGTCGGGAACTAGAGGCCAGTATCTTCATGGGTGTTGTCTACTATCAGAGGCTTAGACATATGGTCTCTGACAAATTTCAGGTATGTGCATGTTTTTAGTTTGACTTTTCAAAGAATTAGGGAGAGCCATTGCACTCATGTTGGCATCAAAGTCACACCTTATTTTGTTTTGTCTGCAAGTTGGTTTCTCCAAAGCGCCAAAGAAAATGGGTTGAAACTTTACACAATTATCGGAGTATATAATAGGAGGTCACTATCCAAGGCCCATAACTCTATGATGGTTTTTGTCAGAATTATGGCCCTTTTTGAACGATGAGAATTCTTCAGTATCTAGGCTCTTGTTTTACTATCAATACTGAGAATAGTTGAGCTTGCTGTCCTTATCAACACCTTGTGTTCTTTTAACTATTATCTTGTTATGTTTATATTATTTGATAGAGCTATGTACAAGTGCTCATATTTTGCAATTGCTGTAAATATACATGATAACTGTCAGGAAGTTGTGTCTTGGGCTCAGTGGTATAGAGTGTTTTGTGAGTAAGTTTATTGTCAAGATTTGGAATCAGATACAAGTGATGGATTTCTTTTCATGTTTTTACATTTTTGTGTTACAACAAAAGAAATAGACAAGCTTTTCTTCATTTAGTTGTATAACTTTGAGAAGACAGTAATGAGTCTGTTTAGACACTACAGAAAACAGAGACATAGTGATACATTATTGATGCATGCATTTATATATATATGAGTTAAATTTAAGTATCATATTTTATAGTGAACTCTTAAATTTTAAAAGATGTACAGAAGTAAAGATAATCTCAAATATTTTCATTGATTTTATTTCAATTCTGTAATCCCTTTTTAAATTTCAATGGATATAAATTAAAAAACCAAATTGTCTTCAAGATATATTTCCAGGATTACAATTTTAAAATACTCAGGTAATGCGTAGCAAAACGATAAAATAGATTGTTGGCCAGTTCTTGCTGCAGGTTACAAAGGCTGTCCATATTTGTACTTTAATTGAAATCATTTTGTAAAGAAGGAAGACAGTTTATAGTAAAAGAGCAACATACACAATGTAATATGGAAAGAAGATAAGGAAGTTATTTTTATAATGTAGGTGAGAACCACTGGACCTATAGATCAAGTCACATACCAGCCTGTGAAGGGGCGTAAAAAAGGTGGTGGTGTAAGGTTCGGTGAGATGGAAAGAGATGCCTTAATATCACATGGGACATCATTCCTTCTTCAAGATAGACTTCTTAACTGCTCGGATAAATCTATGGTAATGTTTAGTTAAATTTTGTTGATCAATTTTTTTTCTCAACATTTGCAACATACAATTTGATTACAATTTTCTGTTGCTTGACAAAATTGAATGGAATTAAGTTAAAGCTTAGTCTATATTTTGAAACTGAAAACAATCTATTTCTTATAATAATTAAAATAATCTTTTAATTCATAATAATGATCATAGTCATGTACACAGAAGTTTTGCAAGATTTTCTCTATTTTTATGCCCCCGCCATGTAATGGCCGGGGCATATAGTGTTACCCTGTTCCGTCATTCCGTCCTTTCGTCATTCTGTCATTCCGTCATCATCAGTTTCCGTTCATTATCTTAAGAACGGTTGCGCACATTCAACTCAAATTTGATATATGGATATGTCATGAGAAAATACAGGTCAAGTTCGAATTTGGTTATGGTTCGATGATTTTTGGCAGAGTTATGCCCCTTTTACTTTGAAAATAATATGAAATTTCAGTTTCCGTTCATTATCTCCCCAACGGTACAACACATTCAACTCAAACTTGACATATGGATATGTCATGAGAAAATACAGGCCAAGTTCGAATTTGGTCGTGGTTCGATGATTTTTGGCAGAGCTATGCCCCTTTTACTTTGAAAATAATATGAAATTTTCAGTTTCCGTTCATTATCTCCCCAAAGGTACAACACATTCAACTCAAACTTTACATATGGATGCGTCAAAGGAATGTGCAGGTCAAGTTCAAATTTGGTCATGGTTCAATGATTTTTGGCAGAGTTATGCCCCTTTCACTTTGAAAATAATATGAAATTTTCAGTTTCCGTTTATTATCTCCCCAATGGTACAACACATTCAACTCAAATTTGACATATGGATGCGTCAAAGGAATGTGCAGGCCAAGTTCGAATTTGGTCGTGGTTCGATGATTTTTGGCAGAGCTATGCCCCTTTTACTTTGAAAATAATATGAAATTTTCAGTTTCCGTTCATTATCTCCCCAAAGGTACAACACATTCAACTCAAACTTTACATATGGATGCGTCAAAGGAATGTGCAGGTCAAGTTCAAATTTGGTCATGGTTCAATGATTTTTGGCAGAGTAATGCCCCTTTCACTTTGAAAATACATGTAATATGAAATTTACAGTTTCTGTTCATTATCTACCCAACAGTGTTACATATTCAACTTAAATTTGACATAAATTATGAATATGTCAAAGGAATGGGCAGGTCAAGTTGGAATTTGGTCATGGTTTGATGATTTTTTGGCAGAGTTATGTCCCTTTTACTTTGAAAATAATATAGATACATCTTAGGAATAAGCAGTTTAAGTTTGAATTTGGTTGTAGTTCAATGATTTAAGACAAACTTATCTTTCCTGAATGTTGGAAAAATTTTGAACTTTCACTTTCAGCACTCTTACTTTTAGCCATTATTTTGGCTACAAATATGCAATATGCTGTTTTTAAAAGGTTTAGACTGAATAATTTCAGTGCCTTGAACATTGTATGAAAATGGTTTGTGTTAACATTGAAAAGTTTTAAGGGCTTTGAACTTAAAATGAAAAAAATAATTAAAGCACCATCTGAAATTTTGGCTGCATGCGGGGGCATCCGTGGCATGATGACACATTTCTAGTTTAACCTGAAATTACCTAAAAATAGCAGAAAATCATATGTACTGTGAATTCACTTAGTTATTGTGGGCATAAATTAGTTATAGTGTTCATAAAATTTGGCAGTTCTGTTGTCAAAAAGGCATTTTCTTAGGTTCTTATATTTGTGAACCAACTGTTTTGCAAGAAAGTTAAATATAAATAATGTAATAAGAATAAGAGAAAAGCAGACAAAATCAAATTTTATTTGATCATTAATTTGTAGAATGACTTATCCATAACATCCATGAAGAAAAGAATAATAATGATTTTGCAGTATTTATTTTCATGTAAATATACATATATTTACAGGCACCAGTTTGCACTGACTGTGGAAGTTTATTGTCTGTATACATGGAGAAGAGAGCGCCATCTACAGCTGCTGCCTCACATGAGAAGCAACTTCAGTGGTCGTGTCTACATTGTAAATCGTGTCATATAGAAATTGTGACCATACCCTATGTGTTCAGATACCTTGTGGCAGAACTTGCAGCTATGAATATTAAGGTAGAAGTGACTGTGAAGGACTGATTGCAGTTATGAAAATAGCGAAGAATTCATGTGAAATAATAGTTACTTGCCTCCCAGTTTTGTATTGGTAATACATAGTATACACCGAGGTTTACTTGCATCTGGTCATTGTGATTCTAAAATTGTGAAATAGAGACACTTGAGGCAGAATTTGCAAGAGGCTTAAATTATAAAGCAAGCTGTCATTATTGCTGTTTGACAAACCTGTGTTAAAGTATCATTGGCAATCGATTTGCCTTGTGAATTTGAAACAGTCCATTCATAGTTACAGAAAATAAACAAACATTGGAAGTGCAGGCTAGCCTGGCTCTATACTGATGGCAATGGCTTATCACTTACGTTTTCAGTAGGTGAAGGGTTGCTTTCTGTCATTTGTCTCCCTTTAAGTATGAGAAATTAAAGTCATTGTTGCAATTAATAGTCAAAGAGATTATACATTTGTATTTGTAAATGCTTTACCAGTTTTTTTGACAAGTATTGTTATAGAATCTCTCATTGTGTGTGTATATCTTATTCACTCTATACATTAATGAAAACACATAATTGTGATGGTTTCACAAGTCAGCATACGTGTATACTCGCGTTTACGTGTATACTCGCTCAAGTCTGTATTTATGTACATGTGTTCTCACAACTCAGTATATATTTGTATTCATAAGCTGGTATTGATGTGTACTCACAATATGTCCTACACATGTACTTGGATATACACATCTACCTACAAGTGTACTCGCATATCAGTATAGATATTTTCAACAAGTATCCTACCAAAGGACACCACTGAACTACACTGTTTCAATGAAAGGTGCATGTATCATTGCATGCATAATGCAAAAATATTGAAATAGTTATCATACAAGTTAGAGAAAATTTAATGACATCACTGTATTATTGTAATTTTAAAATTACATAGATATTTGTTTTTTATGAATAAATATTGTTTTCAAGGGTGTACCTTGTTGTTTTTTGTGTCGCCTTGAAAAGGTGACATATAGGGGTTACTTTTGTCGGCGTCTGTGTCGGCGTCGTTGTCGTCGTCCCCTAAAGCTTGTCCGCAGCATAACCCGAAGTGCAGTGCACAAGGATCGGTACTCTGCAGTTCTTATTTTTTGAGTTATTGCCCTTTGTTAATTTTCATACTTTAATTTTGTCCGGGCCATTTCTCTTCAACTAAAAAAGCTATGGACTTGAAACTTCATAGGATGATAGATCTCATTAAGAAGAAGTGCAGTGCACAAGAACCGGTACTCTGCACTTCCTGATTTTTGAGTTATTGCCCTTTGTTAATTTTCATACTTTATTTTTTTCCGGGCCATTTCTCCTAATGTATAAAAGCCATGGACTTGAAACTTAATAGGATGATAGGTCTCATTAAGAAGAAGTGCAGTGCACAAGAACAGGTACTCTGCATTTCTTATTTTTTGAGTTATTGCCCTTTGTTTATTTTCATACTTTAATTTTGTCTGGGCCATTTCTCCTTAAGTATAAAAGCTATGGACTTGAAACTTCATAGGATAATAGATCTCATTAAGAAGAAGTGCAGTGCACAAGAATCGGTACTCTGCATTTCTTAATTTTTGAGTTATGGCCCTTTGTTAATTTTCATACTTAATTTTTGTCCAGGCCATTTCTCCGAAAGTATAAAAGTTATGAACTTGAAACTTCATAGGCTGATAGATCTCATTAAGAAAAAGTGCAGTGCTTAAGAACTGATACTCTGCATTTCTTATTTTTTGAGTTATTGCCCTTTGTTGATTTTCTTTATTTTTGTCTTGGTCATTTCTCCTCAAGTATGAAAGCTATGGAATTGAAACATCATAGAATGATAGATCTTATTGATAAGAAGTGCAGTGCACAGATATGCTGCTCTGCACTTATTTTTTTTTAGTTATTGCCCTTTGTTATTTTTCATATTTCATTTTTGTCCTGGCCATTTCTCCTAAACTACATTGTTCACAAGGCGACACATCCGACTCGCGGAGTTCTAGTTTTAGTATACACCAATAAGAGTCCCTTTGGCAAAAGGGCCCAAGTCTGATGTAAAAATTGCTTTTATTAAATAATTTAAAAGTTATTTACCATTAGGAAAACAAAATATAGCCAGATACCTCTATTGTAATCAACATGGGTAACTTTTTTAGCTCACCAGAACCAAAGGTTCAGGGTGAGCTATTAGTATCAAAGGGGGATGCTCCGTCGTCATGCGTCAACAATCGTCTTCTTCTCTGAAACTGCTGGGCAGATTTACTTCAAATTTGGTCTGAATCATCCTTGTGACAGTCACACTTGAATTTGCTCTTGTCATTTCAATTGGCCCCTTTAAGGGGTCAACAGAGCAAAAAATAGAAAAACCTTTAAACATCTTCTACAGAACTAATTGATGGATGATCACAAAACTTTGTCTGTAGCATTCTTGGGAAGTCTTTTATCAAGTTTGCTAATATTAATTTGATTGGCCCCGTTTAAGCTAAAGCTTAAATGCCCCACGTCATGGCATTTCTTCAAATTATTGTTTAAACATATTCTATGCTCAAATTTTATATTAGAAAATATTGACAATTGATAATTTCCAACACTGAAAAGCAGTTGTTTCTGGTGAGCAACTCAGGGCTATCATGGCCCTCTTGTTTTTTTTTCTTTTTCATTATATCTAAACATGAGGTCATCGTCAGAACCCACGGTACACATTCCGTATGTACTACATTTAATACATGTATTTGGTAAATAGCCCGGGTTACCAAGTATGCATGAGATATAATCAAGGAAAATATTGCTTTAAAAAGTATTTACCATTAGAAAAACAAAACATAGCCAGTTATCTCTGTTTTAATCAAGATATTAAAAACATTATTTTGTTTCGTTCTTTTTTTTTTCAACATATACCTAAACAAGAAATATAATCAAGGAAAATATTACTTAAAACAATCTGTATGACCATAAAACAAACAACAGATTAAATGTTTAAGTGTAACAATTAATATATAGCATCAAAACCACACATGTATTGATATGCGATCATTTAAGTCCCTAAAATAATAATTTTAGCAGTGCATTTTGTAAATATTAGAGAATAATTGTTTTTAACAATTTTTCCTCAATTTTACTCTTTTAAATTCATTGATATATTTTAGTTATATTATTACATAGTTAAAATTAATGCCTTACTAGTCGGGCAGAATTTTGGCAAAGCCTTAGGAAAAAATGATAAATAACATAGGATTTTGTATCGCATACAATTATTTACAAACGAACAAGACAATACAATTACTTACAAATGAACAAGATCACGGGGGGAATCACGTGACTTTGTATAGTAATACCCACAAGGAAATGGCGACTGCTGAGCCCCGGTAAGTACCTTATTATGTTAAATTAAGGTGACAAACGTTTCTTAACTTAAAACAAAACCTAGCGTGTCATATGCGCGGTAATTTTCTTCAAATGACAATACAAAGTGCATTATCCTATGAGAACATTGTGTGAAAATTGCACATTCAGCGATAGTAATTCGCACGAAGCGATATAATTTGGTACCAAAATAAATGAAAAAAGGCTTTCTTTCTGCACTTAAGACACCAAATCAATAATTTTATTGACATCTGTTCTTGTATAAATCCATATAAAATATATTTTCGAAGGTCTGTAGCCTACAACTGTTCTTTGCATTTCTGGGTAGTAAGTTGCACGAAAACAAAATATTAAATTTCACGCAGCATACATATACATTAAGAAAGTTAAAGTTCATATGTAAAGAGATTAAAATACTTATTTCAATTATTCAAGATCAAATATTTCACTTTTTGTCTATAGGACGAATGCTTAATTGGTTGTTTTTTATAATATATCAAATTAACTTTTGGTGGGATTTAATATCACACGGCTCAGTGTTCTTTTTCTTTTGCGATAGTAGTTCTTTGACCTATGCAGTGCCAGGTGTGTCTTGGCCCTCATTTTACTGTAATTAGAAAAAAGATGAACAAATATGATTACTTGTTATTTGGTATGGTGATGTCTTTTAACTGAATGCTGATGCTTTTATGGCGGTATTTGTTACATTAAGTGACTATGTTACTGAATTTATGAAAATATTAAAGAATCCGCAAGAACAAAATAACTTCTTACAAAAAAAAAAAAAAAACAACAAAAAACACCACCACCAACAACAACAACAAAAAAAGAAACAATAATACAATGATTCAAGTTATGATTAAAGGCGCATTGGGCCTCAGAAATCCATATTGTTTTAATTCTTTAGAAGTGTCAAACATGTGTTTGATAATGTTTATATAATGGATAAAACGCATGATAGTATTTTATTACAACTGAAAAGGTAGCGCTGAACATTAAGTGATGTGTGGTAAAGGTAGCAAAATGTAAACAAAGTAGTATTTTTGCTTCCATACAAGAAACTAATACACCAAAGGTATACCAATTGCCAACAGAACCAAAGGTGAAAAACATTGTTTGAGTATCTTACAAATGAGTATGTTTTCGGAAACTGTAAAAGATACCAAAAATAAACAGAGTTTTTTTAAAATAAAAATGATACTATTACAGAGGCATAATGGGCCTTTAAGGGAAAACGAAAATTTGAAATCAAACTGTCAAAGATATTTATACTTTTTAAAGTGAAGAAAAAATATTTACATAAAACAATCTTAGATGCTGGGTTTCAAATCACATCGTCAATGCCACGACACCGGAGTTAAAGCACTTACGTTTTGTTAGCTAGTTTGATGAAAGTATTCAAGGATGCTGGTGGAACTAGAATCCATAGCGGCGAGAAGCATGTGTATAAAAATAATGGACTTTAACCGCTCGGCCATGGATGCCCTAAATATCTTATTTACTTACTCTATCACAAACATAACGTTTTAACAAAACTTCTTGGGTATATTTATAAATTCTGCCACTGTATAAAAGAATATATCTAGTTCTACAGATGACGGATGTGGGTCCGATCTAACGTGAACTAGAAATGTGTCCAAAAGACACGGATGCCTCCACACGCCACTGTTCTGTCAATCTTATGACTCTAGGTCAAATATTTTTTGGACTACATGTGCCACAAGTTGAAAACCAAAAATCAACAAAGGGCCATAATTCTGTTAAATTTGGTCGCAGCAAAAATTCCTCCCTTAACTACCAGCTACACATTAAGGTTGTTCATCCCTGGAAGTTTAAGCAAAATCTGCCATCCGGTTTAAGAGGAGTTGCGTTCACAAATTTTCTACATAGTATATAGTGAAAAAATCAACAAAGGGCCATAATTCTGTTAAATTTGGTCGCAGCAAAAATTCCTTCCTTTACTGCCATCTACACATTAAGGTTGTTCATCCCTGGAAGTTTAAGCAAAATCTGCCATCCGGTTTAAAAGGAGTTGCGTTCACAAAATTTCTACATAGTATATAGTGAAAAAATCAACAAAGGGCCATAATTCTGTTTAATTTGGTCGCAGCAAAAATTCCTCCCTTAACTACCATCTACACATTAAGGTTGTTCATCCCTGGAAGTTTAAGCAAAATCTGCCATCCGGTTTAAGAGGAGTTGCGTTCACAAAATTTCTACATAGTATATAGTAAAAAATCAACAAAGGGCCATAATTCTGTTAAATTTGGTCGCAGCAAAAATTCCTTCCTTTACTACCATCTACACGTTAAGGTTGTTCATCCCTGGAAGTTTAAGCAAAATCTGCCATCCGGTTTAAGAGGAGTTGCGTTCACAAGATTTCGGGACGTACGGACAGACGTACGGATGGACGGACACTCGGACGGACAAGTGCAATGTTATATGCTCCCACTCTGTGGGGGCATAAAAAGGGCCATGTGGAACGTATATTGTTGAGTATCAATGTCTCTGGCGTGGGTTCGATCCCCGGGAGATGCTTTGATAGTTTAGCACGGAGGAAGGTAGTCTAGGCAGGAACGATGGTTA